GGTCTCACATTTATTTGGTTGTTTAAGACTTGGGGGAAAGCACTCATCTTGTGTAAACAAATTTATCAAGGATTTGTCTTTGAGAAGCTGCCCTTATCCCATGCTAACCACAGCTTTCTTTGAGATACTCAAACTCTGAGTCAAGCATTGTTTTATTTTTTTTCTTTAGAAACAGAAAATGCAACTACTTTTATCAAATTAAAGAAAAGCCTAAGGAAAATATAGGCAATCTTCCAGAGCACTGTTTCAACATGGTTCTATTAGACTAGATTTCTTATTCCCCCCCCATATACCTGTTTAATCAGTCATGCACTACTGAATATCAAGTCCATCTTTTGTGCTCTCTATAATGCAAATCAATCATTATAGAGGATTCTAAGCAAGAAAACAATACTAATAAGAGCACAAAAGTAACTGCTAATTAATTAAACTTGAAGCATTGATAATCCAACTGACCTAGCACTCTGACAGTTAATCATTCTTGGACTGATTTAATAAGCATGTTCATCCTGACACTTCCCCCTTCTAATGGGTCTTAAAGCCATGCTGTTACGTTTCTAGGTTTGTTTTATTTATTTATTTTTAGAACCTAAATGGGATGAAAGCATTCAATAAACAAGCTCAAATATTTTACTTACAGCATTACATGACCAGCTTATCAGTGGCTTGCACCAGCTATTCTTGGATATCATAAGTCTAAAGGGCAACCCAGTTTTGGCAATTCAGGGCTTCAGCATGATTGCAACAAATAAGATAAAACACACAATGAAGAGTGTTCCAACGCAATTTGAAGCACTGGCAAGGAGTCCTTCCTATAATAAAAATTCCCTCAATTGATAAAACAAAGTAGCTGTAAAGATTTCCCTGATATCGAGGGAGATAGACAGCCAGATCGAAAACCTTTCAGACAGACTTCTCCATATCAGACAAGTTATTTCCAAAGGCCTCACAAGAGTCCTGTAGAACAAGCATCAGCAAAACAAGAGAAGTAGATTACATGTCCAAGAGGGCACCTCACACATGGCATCTTGGACATACACTGTGTGGCAATGTGGGCTTTCAGAGAAAACCAATGACATCCGTGCTATTCAGAAAAAGCGCAAACGTTACTTACAGCACTCTACCATTGCTCACTCTGGTCACCACGATGCCAAAGGGGTTCTGCTTCACATCCACTTTATAGTTTAAATTGGAGGCTGCGGATCCAGTGAAAGATTGCACATGCTCATGAGGGACTTCAAATCTTTGTGCATTAGGATCAGTGATCTGCACATATTTAAACAACCAAAGTGTTGGGCCTTTAAAAACTAATGTCTAATTCAAACATTTTCCAGCATTAACATGTAGTTCTGACTTAGGATATTCCCACCCTATCCCAGTTTCCTCTTCTACCTTCATTGTTATTCATTTCCAACTTTCATCACTCATTTTCAGCTGTTTCCCTCATAATACTGGACCCTGTGTTTCCCTGGCTCAGCAAGAACCCACCACAAGAGGAAGTTCTCCCACAGAAGAAGATCTGGCTCAACCCCAGAACCCATTGATATCCCACATTCACCGCACAGACTATTGAGTGTTCCATAGATAACAGAAATCATTGGAAGAGCTAATGTTGTCTGTCAAAATCATTGAGAGATATGGCCAGGCCATAAATAAATAAGTAAACACATTTATCCCAAAAATTTTCCTACAATGAGGAAAAAAGATAGATACCATAAAAGCTGAGCTTTTCAAAGGTCTCAGTAATTTTTCATGCAGAAATCCCACTGTGCTAAACCCTCGTTAACCCAATGCATTGCAACAGCGGAGAGCACAAAGAAAGGAGGAGCCAAGCACTTCAGTGGGAGCCATGAGAATGCATCAGAGGGATTAATCCAGCCCTCCTAACCTCACTGCACAGTAACAGCCAGCCTAAAATCTTGCACAGAACATGAACCTTAAAACAGCATAGGAAAAAGATTAACCTTGAACCGGAAGCGATTTGGTGTCTGATACTCTCCTGTGAGGAGGACGGTGTTGATATCATTCCCAAAGAGGGAAGGTGACGATAGCCTTGTTAACGTAGTCTCGAAGCCTTGGAAAAAAAACACATATTGCAATGTTTTGTGTTGAATTGGACATCAGCACGTGCATAAATTGGGGAACTGAGCCCACAGCTTACCTGCCCGAGTTGATCTTGTTGACCCATCCACTTTGTACCCATGTTTTGAAGAGAAGAAACACCAGGGCACACTGGTATCGCTCTGAGGACTCCAGCAGCAGCCACGCAGAGTACAGATGCTCTGATTCAAGGACATGAGGGGCACAAATGAGCTGATTTTACACAAATAAATCCTCTATACTAAAACAGTAAAAATGCACATGGAGTGTATTTTACCCCAAACACCAGAAACCTTAAATAATATTTGAAATCAGATCAACTCCTCTGAAAATCTATCAGGCAAATTCAGTGGCATAGAACACACTAAATAGAAAGGATATTTTTCTGGATTCAGAGTAGAAACGTGCTTACTAAACATTCATTCTTTCTAAAACTCACAAGATTCACAGGCAAAATGAACATTTAAAAAGAATTATTGAAACATTTGAGCTGTGACAGATGTAGTATAGTCTGACCAAAAGTCATACACTGGAGAGGGAGTAAAAGTTATAATTGGCTTAACATCTGGTAAACATCTGGTCGATAAACATCTACATAAGCATAATTGATCATAATGTATAATATCTATATTTTAATGTAATTTTCCAATATCAGAAATGTTCAGATTGCTTCTGCAGAATCTCAGATGGAGGGTTTTCCCACCCTAAAAAAAAATCCCAAGCAAATAAACTTGTTTAAAGCATGTATCTCAGCATAGTGGCACCAACCTTCACACTACCTTTCAGTAGTACAGTAAGCTGCAGTACCTTTGCTTTGCTGTTAGAAATTAACTTACTCACGTGCTGTCTGCGTGAGTTTTATGCTTGAAGATAAGATTTGGGTAATACATCACTAAGTTTCTGCATATTTTCTCACATTAAAAATCCGACTCATTACTTAGGGCAAAGGGCAGTAGTAATACAAGCTTCACTGAGGGCAAAGGACAGTGTCCATAAGTGATGTCAGGTATCCAAATCCAACATGCAGATCTTTAAACCTTTTCCTCCAGCTGCTAACTAACAGAAGCTGCTTCTTCCTTCATCTGATTGCGGTCAAATGTTTCTGGTGTTTATGCCATGCTTATTTAAAATATTCTGCAGCTTGAAACAGGTGGAGATGATCCAAAATCTCTATTGCTGCTGACCTGACTGGCACTTGGTTTTGGGTTATAGAGCCCAACCTGACTAGTGCAGGTCAAATGCTTTTCTCAGCCTCTGACGAAAGTAAAGGTAAGCCAGCTCCAGCCCAGAAATCGTGCAAGTACTGAAGGAAAGCACAGAGGGAGCTCACAGAGCCACTGGCTTGGGAAGTCACGTTTTCGTTCAGTAGCGATTGCACAGAGTACAGAAATCTCTGCCAAACCACCCAAGATTAAAAAAGGATAAATGTTTGTCTCTGTCATGGACTGATCACATCAGAAAACATGTATGCTGTCATTTTCATTAGGTTCCAAGCAAAAAACTCAGTTGGAGGAGAGATATAAGGACTCCTTTTCCCCCACTTTGATCCACAAATCGATGCACTAAGGCTGTGAAAAACCCATGCTCACTTTCCACCTTCCCAACTCCCACCACGAGAGCTCCCTATTTCTCATTGTATAAACTATTTCAGAGTAAATGAGAAGCACCCATCCCCTTCAAGACAGCAGAGATCACAGCTCTGCTCCCTTACTTCATTTCATTCATACATAGGGGAATGTACTAAATACATAAGAACAGGCTTGCTACCTGCATCCTCTTATCCCTTCCTGGACCAGTGACTATCCCATCCAATGGAGAATAGCTTGAACAACAGGTTCTCCTAAAGCCTTATAGTTCAAGTATCTGTGTTCCAAACTCCATAAGCATGCTTTTCTTTTTCTCCAGCTACTTCTCATGAATACTGGTTGACTATTTTCAGCAGTCACTTTACAGTTCAGTGGTACTCTTCTAGCTAGATCTTATTCTAGTGGATTTGTAAGCTATAGCTCTGCATTTTTGTGGCACATTGAGCTTACTGCATAAGGAAGTAAATACAGAAGCGTAAGATCAGTTATGCCTGACACAGGGAATGGAGCAGAGTTCATCCAAAGACACTGGAGAGGCTGTTATAAAAGCTATCATTTAGTGCAAATAAAGATGTGAGCTGATCACAGCCTCTGAGCTATAAAACCAGCACAATAGATACCAATACCTAATAAAGCCAAAGAGAAAAATCAAAGCTTAATTAGAAATAATCCTGGATACGCAGAAACAGTTTACACTGCAGTATATACAGCATGAGATGGCTTCTGAACATGGAACTGAGCACCAAGGATTGAAAGAATAGCTTTTCTATGTGCTGAACTAAAATGTTTCCCTTATGTACACCCAAACAAACCTCTGCCAGCAGGATATTTTGGAAAAAAAACCCCAAACAAACCAAACCCAAACCAATACACCCTTCCCCCAAGCTTTCAGAGGTATCAGTCCAATAATGGACTACTACTCTGCTCATAGTAGTTGCTTTTTTACTGGTGCATTCGTCAAACTTCATGACAATTCTCCACAGGAGTGAACAGTTAACTATCTACTACCTTTCAGCATGTCTGTCTTCGTTGATCCTGTGATTGGTTAATAAATATCTATTTGTTTTCCAAACTTTTATCCTCTGCAATCCTACCCATTTTCTGGCTTCATCTAGGACATCTTCAGCGAATAAAGAAACCAAGACAGACATTAACCTGCTATAGGAGTGTAGGCAAATCACAATTTTCCCAGCTTCTGTTTATTCTGAAAAACCACTAATGGAAACCACTGCAGAAGAATTATGTTATTCTAAGCAGGTACCTGTAGTTTTACAGCTCTGCTGGTTGCTGCATTAGAATTGCCGAAAGAAGGACAACCAAAATGCTTCCAGGAGAAAATTTATACAGGAATGAATGGATGCATTGGGGTGGGACTCTGGCTCGTGTCAGGCATGCACAGGATAAAGGTGATATCTACCTCTAACCCTGTGAAAACTGCTGCCTGTTCTTCACTAAGGGAAGAACAGATTCAGGAATCATTGATTTTACCTCTAATTCCAGAGCACGTACCCCAGTGTTCAAATCTGCATCTGGCCCTACTTTCTGCTAGTATCTATAATTTGATTATTTTTAGTTTTTTCTAATCTGTGATGGTAAAAAGCAAGGGCTGACTTACAATAAGGCTTACAGTTGTAACCAAAGCAAAACTATTTCCCTCACTGTATGATGAGTGCAGCACATAATGTGGGGTGACTGGTTCAAAAACAGTAATTAAAGATTAAAGTGATCTGCATGACTGCTCCTACTGTGGTGTGCTTGCTCCTGGGCTGGGTGTGTGTGTGTGTGTGTGTGTGTGAAGGAACCAAAAGAGTAGAGGAACAGGCTGTGATTTGAGCCTTTATTAACCTGTTCGCCCAGAGGACTTTATTGAACTATATATCATAACAAAACCCATGGTATGACAGAAGCTTTAACAACTGCCATTTCTGGAATTAGACTGGGAATTTCCTCAGAAATTGAGACAGCTGGGTAATAATTTTTTATACCTCTGTGAATGACATAAACATCATACATCATAACATATTCACTATTTTTTCTCCTAAGCTGCTCTCCTAAACCAAAGAAAGATGCCATGCATCCACCAGCTTCCATCAGAAAGTGAGAATATCTACCATAAAGATGAACAATAATAATGATAATAAAAATAATAATAGCCTTTCAAGACCAACCACAACAAAAATGTTCTGAATGTGAGAGCACTGAAAAAATAAGATGATACTTTTCACTGGGAATCTTAAGTCATAGATTCTTAAGCCAAAAGGTCAAAACTCTATGGTCTCCCAGATAAGAGATACCACAACTGAGAAAGGAAGACACTGAGATTCAAATTGGTTCTGAAAGGAAACTGTCACTATGTCTTTTGCATCTGGGTAAAGTGCATCTTCACCTGCTATTTCTGAACTATTATAAATGCTAGTACTTGACCATCAGACAAAAAGAAAACCTTCAGGCAAAGTTGTTAAAAGTAAAGAGTGACTTTTTTAACTGGTTCATGTCTGACTAATTATGTTTCCACCTATCCCAAACCCAAACTGCTGGGGAGTACTTTGGCAGCGGTCTTCAACCTTTGACAGCAAACTGCTACAGACGTTCTGTTAATGGGCTGAAACGCGTTATACAGGAGTTACGCTTCCCTGCAAAGCGTTCAGGCAATCACAGATTAAAAAAGGTTGAGAAAACAACTGATATAGCAGAGACAAGTTAAATTTTTCAGACCTTTGTTGCTACTTGATCCGGGATGCAGTCAATTCTCTCTGCTATTAATACGTTCGGACATTCTGGTGTATATTCTGTTAGGGAAATAAATTAATGGGTTATGATCAGTATTTCCAAAATGTATACTCTAATCATTAATATGGATGCAAATGAGTGTAAACTATTGCTAGTGAGATTTATCGTACCTTTGACAAATTGCATACATCTATTCAGATAAAGGGTTTTTCTTAAAGGTTTTGAACATATGGGTGATGTTGATAATTTTATTTCTTAAGGTATACATTCATCCAGTTTTCAGTAAGTCCTGTAGCTCAACATGCATTGCTGCTTCTGAAAATACATGCTAAGTTAAATTTGGAAGGACTATTCTTAAATGGTACAGTGCTGCTGCTCTCACAGGTGCTCCTTCCTCTGAAATTCTGTTCTTCCACAGGAGCTTGAATTAGAACATCAGGTAAAAGCACCCTAAATCTCCATTAAGATTCTCCATTGGATTTCAGGTTTGTTGGACCAAATTTAAGGTGACCTCTTGGCACCTTTAGCAGGCAAAAGGGTACACGACTGTTGTTTTCTATTTTCCTTTACATATTTGGGAACACTGTATATGTTTGGAACGTGAATTGCGAAGTGTAGGAATCTTGTTTCAGGTGGAGATTCACATAAATACACGGACTCGCCCGTTTGCATTATCTGCGATATATGCACTTGTACTTTTTGCCCAGGGAGACTCATACTCATCTTGTGACAGAAATGGGCAGAAAATATGCAGATATTAGTCTGTATGGGTAGTTTTACTAAAAAACCAAAGTGTTTGATTTTTATAAGAAATTATTTTTATTTTACTGCCATTTTTACCTCCAAGCTTTTTGCTTTACCTCCATGTGTAAATGGGATTACTCACACAAAATGGAACTGTAGGTAAAGCAGGGTGCTCTATGTTACATTCCTGTAAGACCAGTGGTTTCTAATGTACCCATACATTAGCAGGAAACACTATAGGTTTTTGTGGTTATAATGTATATTCCACACAATTTGGCTGCTCCCACATAGTCTCCCTGAACCCTTTTTTTTTTTTTCAGTGCTATCTTTTTTTTATATTCAAAAATTTCGACATCATACCAGTTCTAGGTTTATAAAACAAGTCCAGTCTTGGGAGGAAGGGATAAAAGTTTTTTTCATGCCAATAAATTCTGAATCATGCTATTTATTATGTTAATGACTGGTAACTCTACTCATATTATCTGTAGGAAAGATTGATCATGATTCACCTTTGGGTAATGATAAGAACATATAGTAACAGTGCTTTTTTTTTTTTTTTTTCATCATGTGAATGTCCACATTCTTGAAAAGTCTAAATCAGTGACAGAAATTATGCCAATGGTTAGTTCCAGAAGCTCTGTAGCATTTACAATAGTCTCAGCAAGAAGAGATGAGCAGTTATCACTTAAGGTTTTTGCTCTGGTCCAACAGCAGCAATGGGAAGTACTTACCTGTAGTTTTGACTCCAGATTGTCCTGATGCTAAAAGCCCAATGAGGACACAGGCTACGATCACGACCAGGCAGAAGAGGACGATCAAGGTGATTTCCAGCCCACTGAACTTCCTCTTGCCCATCTAGACCCAGAGAAACACCGTTGGTATAAAGAAAACAGAAGGAACAGCTATGAAAACTCTATAAATCACATTAGTAATTTAATAAATTAGCAAAATTTATAAATGAATCAGGTTTTAAACCATGTTCCCTAATCCAAGGATTTAAATAAAACATTCCTTAAGGACTACATGAAATAAATCTCCAATTCAGGATAATTCACACAGTGCAGATTACTGCATTATTACACTAGTGGGCAATCACTGAGAAATGTATTTTGTTCCCTGCAAACCATATTACACACAAAACACAATTTTCTCCTGAGATTAACTATGGAGGTTTTTATGTTTCTGAAATTCCTGAAACAGAAAACCAACAAAATCAACTTCCTTTTTTTTTTCTTCACCAGTTTTCTTTCCTTCTTTAGAACAAACTATAAAGGAAGATGTTGATTTGTTAAAAATGTACTTGACAAAGCCTCTAATGAGCTCTGATAGCATGCTCGTGACACGTGGGAAAGGCAAGACATAGGTAACTGGGTAAGTTACTTATTTGTAAAGTGGATGCA